AGAGAGAGAGGAGAAGAATTATATGTTGTGAATTATATGAAATATTTTTTTATATATTTTTTTGTTTTATCATCACCTGACTTGATATATTGGGGTCAGGTCCAATGACCTGGACCCAGCCTGCGTCTAGGTCCAACTTAGTCTCAGTCAAGTCAGGTCGGGGCCGGGGTTAGGGTTGACCCCACCCAGACCCGACCCATTTACTGCCCTAATTTAAACCGTGACAAGGCTTGGAAATAGCTTGTGTTTCATAAATTTTTGAGGAAAAAATCTGTTCTAATTTTATGTTTCATATTTGTTTTGCCCCTTTCTAACATTATCTGGAAGCTGGTGCCCATTGTTGTACTTGCAGTTAAACATTGCCTTACCTCTTGTTTATTTTGTAGTCACGAGAAAGTGGTGGCAAACTGCTAAGTGCATCACTTGGTTCCGTTGAATACATTGCATCCCTGTGCAAAACTGTGGTTGAATCACAAAATATTAAGGAGGCTGTCAATGCATCTTCTTATGGTACTGACTTCGTGCATGCAGCTTTATCTGTGAATAAGAAGGTGGGCCACATCCACATGCTTTGAATTGATCAAAAAAGTTATTTATTAACTTCGAGATTGAATTAGTTCTACCCTTCATATTTCTATTTCATTTGATTCTTTCTATATGCTTGATTACTTTGGTTGCTCCAGAAAAAGCTTTCTCCTAGTTTATGGGTGTAGATTAGTGTTCTGAGTACAAGTTTTGTGACTTGTGCACACGAGCTATTCTAATTTATGTGCCCTTTTAATTTGGTTATTGAAGTACCTTTCTATGTTGAATCTGATGTATTCTGTCCCAAAGCGCATATTTTATAGTAATCACCGTAGTATTAATAATCAACACTATTAACGGAGAAATATCTTTAACTGGATGCTGGAAAACATCATCACTTCCAATGGATCAACTAAAAGACAACTGCATCTCTAAATTCTTGACTTCTGGGTCAACCCCTATAAGCTTCACATACCAAATATATGACAATGTGTTTTGTACTTTCACATATTGCTGGGATACAAAATGATCCTCGACCTCAGCCACCTGGTTCTATCAATTCGGAAATGATAATGCTAACATAGGATGGGTCTACGATATCGCAACATCTGTATTGTGGGATGAACCTGCTTTACTTCAAATTTATGAGCTTATGCATTATTCTAGTTTGTGGTGCTACTTTGGTGATTGACCGTCTAGAATCCTAGCCCATATTCCCTTTGATCCAGTATTCATTGGATTCCATTTCAAATCTGTGCCCCCTCGAGATTGTTGGAGCCTTGTCGGAGCATGTATCGCCAAATGCAGTTATACTATAACATGGAATTATTTGCAACAGTAGACCCCTTTCTAGCCATTTACAGAATTGTGTTTCTCCTCCATTGGGACCTCTTGAAATATGAATATGTGGTAAAGCAAAATAGGCTATCACAATATCTTCTATGGTAGCCTGTCACAAATGCAAATCAAATCTGCCAGGTATTCCATTAAGTTGTATTCTCCTTTCATAACATGTTGCAACGGCCTATTCTCAAAAAAAAAAAAACATGTTGCAATGGCCCTTTACATGGTGTTTTAAAATTCGAAGGCTTATGGTTCTTCTAGTGCCCTCCTAGCATGGTTGCTAGTCATGAACCTCGTTTTGGTGTGAATCCTAACAGTGTTTAAACAGTTGGACTCGGGGTTCTACTCATCAGGGGTCCCAGCCTGAGTCTCCCCCGTCCATCTTGTACAATTCCAAGTCGGACTGGGCATAGATTTATGAAACAATTAAAGGTCAAAAAATCGGGAGGCTAGGGTGATTCCTAGCTTTTTTGCCTTGGAATTGCATGGCTCCTGGTCCAGTCCAACTTGGGTGAGTACCAAGTGGGACCTACAATGTTCTTAACACTGATTCTTAGTTACAAGTAGTGTTTGCTTGGGACCAGTCCGCGGCCCCATTCCATCACGCAATTTATAAAAATAAAATAAAATAAGGTGTTTTGGTCATGATTCCCTAGTCTACCATTCTCAATCTTTCTCCCACATTTCTTCAGCAAAAACATGGAACTAATGTCAATTTTAGTTTTCAAGCCTTCTTCTCAACACAGATAACCATTTCTTTGGTCAAAAACAAAATTAGAAGAAATCCAAAGATTAGGAGTTTTTTGATACCGAAATCGAAAATCTTTGATTATCTCTCATTGCTTCACCAAATTCTGTCAAATTCATCCCAAAATGTTCGTATCACATTGATATGCGAAAGTCCTCACAAATGTTATTGAATCAAACACCAAATATATCTGAGATCGATTTTTTTTAAATGCCATTTTCCTTGATTCTTCTTTGTTTTTTATCTATGCACTTAAGAAAACACGATTTTGATCGTTTCTGAACTACTTTATGCGATCTAATCATGTTTTTGGATCTCTCTTTCTTTTTGATGGGAAGCAGGGCTTTTTCACTTCTAGCTTATTTTTTCTTATTTAAATGTACATTTCTAAATTTAAAACTATTTTTTGGAAGCTATTTCATTTTGATCTCGATTTTTTATTTTCATCCTGCATATTTTTCGCTAGTCTCTCTCTCTCTCTCTCTCTCTCTCTCTCTCTC